TGCTTTTTATGTGACATTGGGTTGCATCAGTTTGTATTGAAGGCCCGCTACAAAACTTGAAACGCCCTCCAGCCCACACGGGACAAGAGATATTGGGCCATAATTTGGGCCCAATTTCAAGTTTCTAAGATCAGGCGGAACATAACAAGGCCCAATAGCACAATAAACCTCAGAGGTTAGTCCATTCCACAAGAAGGCAGCGTTGACCCCCCCCGGTTCCATTAAGATTAGGTGAAGCATCATTTTGCTTGTTAAAAAAAAAAGGGTGAGTATCATTTTCATCTTGAAAAATTTTAAAAATGCGAAGCAGAAAAGAAAAGGACAGAAATCTCAGATCTGGTCCGTAGCTAATATTAATATATATTTGCGAGGACGCCGGCAGCGGCCGAACAATTGTTCCCCCGGCAAGAGAGATCAATGATGCTCATATTAGATATCCCATCATCATTTTATAAAGATCCCAATTTCGATTAATTAATAATGTCCCAAAGGCAGCCTTCCCTAACTAGCAGCAATTTTTTTACAATCAGCATGATGCCGTCTCTGACCGTGGCCGTGGAATATGCGATCAACCAAGGCAGAAGCAGACGGAGGGGAATGTGAAGGGTTGGTTATTGGTCATGGTGAAAGAATAATTTTGGACCCTACCCATGTGCCCGTGATGAAGGCTCCTAGCTATTCTACGACCCCATCGCCTTTTCCATAATTATATTATATTAAAAAGTGGTGCCCCCAGTCTCTTATAATATAATAAAATGGGCACACTTGATAAAGATGTACAGGACCCCAAAAGTTAAAGAAAGACGAGAGAGAGAGAGAGAGAGGAGAGATAAAGACCAGAGCTTGGCAAAGCAACACTGGAAAGATGGAGGTGCGTCTCAGAGTCAACATTAAACCCTACTTCCTAGTTCCCTGCCCACGTTCTGAGTGTATTTATTATATTATCTTCGGTCTTAATTATAAAATCCTGTAAACTATATATATATATATGAGATTTTATAATTAGAATCAGAAGTAGTATATAATTACATACATAATTATATGCGGCAGAGGTGAGTGAAAGCAACGAGGCATGCGTTAATTAGAAGATTCATGAACTTGTGAGATGAATCCTGCTTATAATTGTGTCCTTATCTCTCTCGGTTTGCTTGGTCTAAGGAGTGAGATAGTACTACTCTACTATTAGAGGCCAAAGTCCGAAGCTAATAAGTAGATGCAGAGATAGAGCCGCTTGTTGTTGGTTGGAAGCAATGTGGTTGTGCTCATCATTAAGGTCTAAGGACAACTGGGTCGGTTTAAGTGATGACTCGCCAAATTCTCCACCCGCCCGCCACTCATTGCAGCACCAGCTTAGAAAGAGACATCGTTCCACGGAAATTAAAAATAGAGCGATGATGAGGTGTCAATAATCTCCCACCACTGATACAATATAATGACAAAATCAATAATTTAATTTCACGTCTTATCATCGGATGAAAAACCCAAAGTTACGAGGACGTGTAAATTAAAATATTCTCCAAAACTTATTTATCAAAACATGGCTGCATAATAGAGAAATGCGGTTATATCCCAAATGATGTAATTAATCAAAAGGTGACTATAAAGTGCAGTTCACATATCCTAAAAATGTGATATGATTTACAGCGTTTATTGGGTGAGAAATGGGGCCTTCCTTAAGACCTTAACAAAGCACTTTCATGAAACAGGGAAGCAAAGGCGTGAACGTTGGCCTCGTGATGCCAAAAGCCAGGGCGATCCGTATCAAAGAAGGTCCCCAAAGTCCAAAGCGTCAGTCCAAAATGGCCGTTACCATAAATCCCACTTTTTGATTAATTCTATTCCCCTTTTTCAATCAATCTCACGCGCTCCTTTCTTCCTTCGCGTGGACGGTTACGATCTGCGCCATTAACATCCACGGCCAGGCCATTACTCGCTTGCCCTGCCCCGATTCTTAAATCCTAATCCTTCCCAACTCCCCTCACTAATCATTCTTGTCCCTCGCCTAAGCAAAGCTCTTTTGCTTTCCAAATCTCTTCACTTTTGCATTATTTTCTAACCCCCCAGAAAAGAAAGGCAGAACCTCCATCTTTCCTATCCTGACTGCAAAATTCTGCCAACACAAAAGCATCAACCACAGCAATAAATTTCTTAAACTTCACTCTTCTTCATTCTTTCTAGAGTTTATTGTACATATAGAAAAGTTCTTTCTTTTTTTGTCGTGACTTCTGTTTTTAAATTATACTCACGTACGTTTTCTTCGACTTGAAATGCTTTTCAAATAACTATTTTTTTTTATATTTAACATCTTGAAGTGTTTTTTATTAGAACTTAATATTTTTTAAAAAAGCAATTTTTGTTTTATCCTAAAATTTTAAAATATTTTTAGTGATAATTACTTCAATGTTAAAATTGCGCTAAAAAGGACACGACTTGTCCGTATCCGGAGCTACGATATTGTTTAAATATTGTCGCAGAGGATAATCGCAGGCAGGCAAAATAAATGGCGTGATAATTAATTAATCTCCGCAAATAGTACGCCTAGTTGATTCCTTTGAGGAACTATGATCCCTCTCCCACGTGACTGCAAAAATGAGCCATTTATCCCACCGCTCATTGAAATCCCACCGCTGTCTCCGCCCTCCCTGTTAGGCGCTATGCTCTCACAGCGCAACTATTATCCCCATCCTTATGATCTGAGAGGTGTTTGGATGAGTTTATAGATATTTCTTAAAAATATTTTTTCACAAATCGAAATAAATTTCTCTACATATTTATTTCGTAAATCGTTAAAATTATAGTTTTATTTCTATTCAAACACTCCTTAACTGCTCACGTCAACAGGGGAAACAGGTAAACTAGTAATTAAGGAGCGAAGGAAAAATCACATATAAGAAATAAAAAAAATATCGCACATATAATAATACACGTGTGGAAAAAAAATATCAAGTCGTGAAAGGCAAAATCGAAAGGAACACTTTTTCTTTTCTAGAATATTAATTATTATCAATATAAGAATTATAAAGTTAGTTAATCTTATCAATGATTGGGATAGTAAGGAGTCGTGTAGTTTGGAGGCGAAAAAGTGATCACTCAATTCTTGTTACAAGTATCTCCTACTCATGCATGCTTTATTTAAAAAAAGTTGTTTTTTTTTTTACCTTTATCTGTAATGAATCATATAAATTTATGATTAATTAATTTAAATTTTACAATTGATAATTTCAATGAGACAAACTTTAAATTTCTATTAAAAACAGACATCGGGGCAGAATCAATTCAATCCGGGGAATACTTATTGGACAGAGCCACGACTTCTGTTTATATTTTTTTAAAAAAAAGACCACGGAACCCAAAAATTAGCCAAGCAACGACATATAATGTCGCGAAAAATGAAGTTTTGTCGTGTCCATCCATCAAGCTACGGTTGATGGCTAACCAATTATTGGCCAAAAAAAAAAAGGCTAACTTAATTCATATTCGAAATCATTTCAACCCCAATGATAACACCACTGGCTCCAGCCTGCACGAGGAAATACAAGCTAGCTTATATTCTTATTTATGGTTTTGATTACCCTAATTAATTAATTTTAAAAAAATTAAGAAAGTTTTTAAATTATTTATTAATTATAACATATATTATATAGTATCTTTAAAATATTATTTATATCATTATATTATATATTAACTTCTAAGTATGGCAATTCGGATAAAATAATAAATATAAATATTTTAAAATAATTTAATAACTTTATTAAAATTTCCAGGTTAGTCGATTGAGTCTTGTATTGAGCACCAAAAGTAGTAGTCTACATATGTCAAGTAATGTATGAATTTGAGTCACGGTTGTTGAATATTACCTCCGTCTTTAATATAAAACTTAGTTAACTAATTTTAAGTTGTTTATTTATAATAAACAAGTGTTGTTTTTATTAGAATACTTTTACTAATCATATATATCAGCTAGAACTATTATTTGATATAACATTTAATATGTACAGATACTATAATGATTACTTTTTAAAAAAATGATAAGTATAAAAAATAAAATAGATTGAAACCTTATATTTATAATCAAATTGAATGTTCGAATAGCTTTTATATTAATAGATGAAAGTAGTAATATCTAATTTACACAAATTAATCGTTTGCGCTATATAATTGCCCCAGGCGAAAGGCTGTAATTAGCACCCCCAATAACAAAGGATGTTAAAAATTAGAATATGCTTTATCCAAGATTAACATGTCATTGAATGTAACACTGGAATAGGCTATTCGCAAAAGCGTGGTCCACCGGAAGGGATAAAAAGAGGTTGGCCAGAAAAGGAAGCGATCAAAGAGAAGACTTTAGGAGCATCTCAATGTTACGTATAATTGCGATTTCATTATTTAAGTGAAGATATTTAATATAAAGTCTATTTAATTAATTTGATTAGATTAAAAAAATCAGATAAATCAGTTAATGATAAAAAATATCACATGTTTTTTTTTAAAACACCAGGGAGTATCATTAGGGATAAATTAAGAAATACTGATAAATATGAGAAATAAGTTTTATATTTAAGATTAAAATTAACTCAATAATCAGATCTTATATTAAGGATGAGATAAGTAGTAGAATTTTTTTAGTAATATGTATCGGTCAAAGCGAGAAGTCAAAGGATCATGGTGGCGCGAGGTCGAAAACCAGCCATTGAACGACGACACCCCGCCAAACACAACGCCAATTCGGATCCCAGTGCTTTTCAACCGAACACGAAAGTAAAAGTGGAATAATGAATAATCACACTAATAAAATTTACCTCCTTTTATTTCCCTTTCTTCTGTTTATGCCTGCTTTATTTCTCCCACTGCTTTACCCCTTAGCATGCGAATTCACCAAACGTGCCCCCAGCCTTGATGCTCTGTAAAGGAGCAAAAGAACCAGGGTGACCACCATCTCCAAGATATGCCAGACGTCAGAGTCATAAACTGCAGGACAGGGCCTACCCAGCTCACTGGGGAAGAACATGGTCCATTTCTGGGAGGCGGGCAATGCGCCTGGCTTTACTTTTGCATTTTTTACGATTTCACCCCAGGGTTGCACTTCCCCTATGAATGGCACATTAACAAATTACATATCCATTTTTTTCAGGGTAGACAAACGGGTCAGGCACAGAAGCTTTTATTTTATTTCACCTTTTGAGAAAGTAACGCTAAACCTCCTCTTAAGATTCTTCTTCTTCCTCTGCACCTAACTCTCTCTCCCTTTGTGCTTCCCCCTCCCTTACCCGTCATCCTCTTTCTCTTCTGCAGAACGTACTGGTGAACTATCTGTTTGCTCTCTGCAGGGCAGCAGAACTCTCCAAATTAGCTTAGCTCTATGTTTTGATCAGACATTTGGCCACCGATTGTAAGTTCTACTAAACTCTCCAAGCTGCATTTTGTTGCATGCAGTAGAAACGGCCGAGCTAAGACTTTCCAGATGGTTTCTTGTTTGTTCAGCTGTGTGATTTTCCGTTTGCTTTTTGTTGCCACAAGCGCATGTCCTACCTTCTGTTCTTATATTTGTTCTCTTGTTTCCTGTCAAGTAAATTAGGCAGAAAATTATTGTCAGGCAGACTAAAATTGGTAATGCGGGCTCTTAGAACTCAGTCATGTAGTTGTGTAGCTCGCAGTCAGTCGTTGCCAGTAAAAGAAAATGTTCTCTTGCATGATCTCATATGAACTCCGCCTTCACTTTATCAACCCCCTCTCTGTCTTTATCACTGACTATTATGTCCCAGGCTTCTGAGTCATTTTTGCCTATTTTTTCAAATTATTAAGCATCTTATACAACTATGGTTATTATTTCTTAGAATTCGACTGGTAGCGACGGTTAGTGATTCTGATTTACAACCATGTAAGTCCTACCTTTTATTTCTTAATATTTTTTAAAAATGATTTTACCTTCTTGCTATAGCATTGACGTCAGTGCAATAAACTTCACTAAGCCGTGGTTGATTGATTGCGCAGCCCATAAAAGCAATCTTCTGATCCTGAACATAAGCACACGGTAGATTCATTAGGGGAATTTCCTTCAGTGTTATCTGATACTATGTTATTTTCCATTCGCTTTGACCAGAACTGAATCATGACAAAGATAAGTCCTGTCGTTGAGATCAAGATGCCAATGGAAGCAGCTTTGCCAGTTTCAGCTGATGTGAGCTTTGCTTCTAACAGTTTCCCCAAATATAAACTAGGGCCTGATAATCAGGTTCTGGAGGAGCCAATAGAGGATAACCAAGGTCCTTTATTGAAGGAGGTTATTGAACAGGAAGCTTCCCATTTGTCAGAGCAGCACAAGCGTCTCTCAGTCCGTGACCTTGCCAGTAAATTTGACAAAAACTTGACTGCAGCAGCTAAGCTGTCTAATGAGGTTCTTCTTATTCAGCCTCCTTGTGGTCTGCAATTTCATATTCCTTTTCCATCAGCCATAGTTTATCAAATTCACATTAGATTTGTCCGTTTTTCCCCAGTCTTTAGTATACCTTCTCTATGTTCAAAAGATGGGTGTTACGAACTTGATCCCACATTTCAGTCAGTTCATTCATATCGTGCAATTTTTTCTTCCTAGAATATTTTGCAATATTGCTTGCTTCATAACTTTTATCAACTTCTGGCGGTGTTACAAACCACTATAATTTTCATGGAAATCAGGCAAAGCTGAGAGAAGTGGCATCTTTGGAGGGACATGTTCTTTTGAAAAAGTTAAGAGATGCATTAGAGTCCTTAAGAGGCCGTTTAGCAGGGAAAAATAAGGATGATGTAGAGAAAGCTATCTCTATGGTATGTATATCAAATTATTTTATTTATTGAGTTACTTCTTTGTTTGAAGTTTGAAATGGCAAGCTCGTGACACACACACACTGACACATGAGGAAAAAAAGCATGACTGATGGATGAACTTCCCTTATAGCCACTTCTGCTGACATAAAATTGAAACTGCTGCAATATGAAAGTCAACCGCCGACTTCTAAAATTACCCCTTCAATTTATTAGAAAGAAAGATGACAATAACCAATGACCATATGGAAGGTGGCTTGAATTTTTTGGGTGACTGATTTTTAAATGCTATTCTCAGTGCGTGAATCAAGAGGAGGAATCACCCCTTAATTCTCTGTTACTCATGCTAAGTGCTCATACTGAAACCATGCAGGTGGAAGCTTTGGCGGTTAAGCTGACTCAAAAGGAAGGTGAATTGATTCAAGAAAAGTTTGAAGTGAAAAAGCTAGTGAACTTTCTCAAGCAGGTCATCTATGGCAGTTTTACTTTGTCTTAAAGGGTTATTTGAATGCCTTTCTTCATTTTGTTTCTCCACACTAAAAAACGAAGAAAAACCTTAATGGGTATATTATCTTGGTTTATCGATTCAAAGGTCAATCATTGTGAAGCCAAATTAAGGTTGGTACAGGCTATTTTTCATAAGAGCCCTTGAGTCTGAGTGATCACTAATTGCAATTTAGCACCATGTGTTCAACCAAGACAGTGAGACTGTTCAATCCTATCATTGGATACTAAATGCGGGTTAGGTCTTGAATATATGATCATTACATCATATGTACTTTGAAAATCAGTTGCACATGACTTAAAAAGATAATGCTATTGATTAGTGAGGGAGAATGGTTTTCTTTCTTCCTCTGTTCAAGGTAAAAATGTCTGAAATTTCTGCCAGTGGTGATGATTGCTTTGTGTTGCTTCATGTAGGAATCATTGTTTTTCCTTCTAAAGTATTCCCTAAATTATTATTATTTTTTATTTTGCAGTTCGTGCACTTTTTTCCTTCATGCTGAAACTTCCTTTGTTTTACAGGCTTCTGAAGATGCTAAAAAATTGGTTAATCAAGAAAAGTCTTTTGCTTGTGCTGAAATTGAGAGCGCTAGGGCAGTGGTGCTAAGAATTGGGGAGGCCCTGGAGGAACAAGAGAACGCTTCCCAAGCCTCTAAGACACAGGTTCTCACAAGCTTCTTAATTACATATGTATGCATGTGTGTCTTCTGATGTTTGCATCTATGGTTTGATGTCATGTGATCGAAGAATCATATGTGAGATATATGAAAAAACTTCCAAGTAATATGGGCTTAGGAAAGAAAATAGGAGTTCATTTTCTGTAAGGTGAAGAATCTGGAGTTTGGATACACCAGAGTTCTGGTAAAGTTTGGTGGGATAAGGCAAAACAAGCAATAGGGGGGAAAAAAGGAGGAAGAACAAGGGGAAAAAAGTCAGTGGGTGAAGACACTGCCACCAGATGACATTCTCCTAAGCAGCCCAGAACTCATGGTTTAAACAGTTAACCTTTAAGAAATTGATCTGCTTATTGACACTAGCACAACGCCACAACATCATCTAAAAGTTATAAAATATTGCAGGCTGCTTATTGCTCCCCCTGAATTTGAGATGTCTGAACTGAATGTGCCTGTCATATACATCCCGCGGCCCATCTTATATGACACATATGAATTTGTCTGACCTTTTGAGGAGTTGTTTTACATTCTTTGTACAAGGCATCATTTATTTCAGGGATTGCTTAAAAATACCCTCAACATTTTTTCGAGAGAGAAAATTGAATGATTAGGGTTAGAGAAGACATCTACTTTTAGTTTCTTTATATCAAAGCTATATGCACAATTAGGATCATCCAGAAAAGGAAAATGGGACTGAGAGTCAGCCAGCCAGTTGCTGGTTTGAGAGAGGCTATATTATTGTCACCGAAGGTGATTCTTGCTGATCATTTGCTTTCAGCCTTCATATCATGTTCTAGCATCCTTCAGTTTATAACAATAATTGGGTATGAAATTATACTAAAGATGCCTCATAAATACTGCGCAGTCATTTCCTTGTTGAGTATGGCAGATATACACTATCTGATGTTCCTCACTGTCAGGATGTGGGTGAACTAGTTGAAGAGGTTCAAGAGGCTAGAAGGATCAAATTGCTGCATCAGCCAAGCAAGGTGCACTTAGTTTCTTCCCCCTTATTATTGCTGAGTGGATTATTTTTCTTGATTTTCTGAATCACTGTAAATTGTATAATGATACCAAGTTTAATGATGATAACGATGGTGATGGTGATGGTGATGTCGGCACTGATGGGATGATGAATTCCTCTTTTGACAGAGTTTTAATGAGAATGACAATAATTCACGTATATATCACATTCAAATACAAATACTCTTATAATGATGGAAAATTGATCATCACAGATCATTATGATATTTTCAGGTGATGGCCATGGAACATGAACTTCGTGCTTTAAGGGATCAAATTCGAGAAAAATCTATTTTTTCAATTAAACTGCAGAAGGAGGTTGGTTGAAATCTTGTTTTTACAGGCTGAGCTATGTGGATTATTCCAGTATGTAGAACGGTTGACTAGATCTTAAAGCAAATTTTAATTCTACTGACATAGTTATGAACTGGCAGCTAGATTTTTCATGATTCTCTTAGCTGCATGATAGTAATGTTTAAAATGAAATATTTTTCCTTGAAAACTACGAGTTCTCTCTTCAGTATAGAGCATAATGCATCACATAACTTAGCACCATAACAAGCATATGATTGTGCAAAGCCATGTGTTTCTCTCCTAGTTAAGTCATTTGAAACCTGATGTAATTGATGCCTGAAGTACCTCATCTTCTGTACTGTCAGGTACCATTTACAACTAACAATTAACCTACAATTCTCATACTCTTGAATATTAATAAATTCATTTCCTCCTTTCCAGTTGACAATGAGCAAGAGGAGTGAGGAAAACAAATATTGTGTATATAAACTACATGGTTCTGAGACATTAGGTTCATGCCTACGAGTGCAGCCTTGCTCGGAGGAGGTGCCACCAATTTCAAAATGCTCATTTCAATGGTACCGCTTGTCATCTGAAGGCAGCTGGAGGGAAGCAATTTCAGGTATAATTTATTAAGTTTCTCTCTTAATCGATTTCATTTTTCCAGTTGTGGTCTTGGAAGTGGATGCTTTTCTTTATTGAGCATAACTCATCACATAACGAGCATATGATGTATTTAGTTCTCGTTGTGCTTGTATCATCTGTCAGATAATATTTTCAACTCATTCTAGGTGTTCCTTCTGATAGTTCCAATTAAGTTTTTGCTGACATGGAAAAATTGGAATATATTAAGATTGAATGTCTCAATAAACGTATGGCTTCAATTAGGTTGCAGGATCATATTTATTATTTACTACCTCTATTCCTAATTATAAGGCCTCGTTTGTAAACTACAAACAAGGCTTTATAAGATCCGGAGGTACTATCTTTTTAGTTTTATGTTAGTCACTTTATATTTCTTATTTGAATTTAATCATCTTTTTTGCTCTGTTATCCAACGACCAATTAGTCTACCAGGATTTTGTTTTTTGTTCTTCCTCTGATGTTGGTTTTACTTCTTTTCATCAGGAGCCAACCGATCAATTTATGCCTCAGATCCCTCTGATGTTGGGCGAGTCTTACAAGTAGACATTATTTCCAATGGCAAAAAGCTTACAATAACGACTGGTCCTATTCAGCCTGGTTGGTCTTAATTCTGGATATTTTGTTTTTGCTAACAAATTGTTTCTGTTTCCCACGTTATTTATTGAGGCTTAGAGAAGTAGAAGTAAGAGGTTAACTATTTAATTTCTGACAGTTGCAGGACTTGGAAGCCATGTGGAGACACTTCTACGAAAGTCTAATTCAGAATTTAATGTATGTTATCCATAGTGTTTTCTATTTTCCGTAATTTTGATTCCTCCTAGCTGAAAAATAATTTACCATGCATATGGAAACTTATGATCATCTTGTTTCTTCCATTTCTGAAAATCTGACATAACTTTGTCATTACATGTCAATAACTGACATTCTTGACACAACAGTCCTTATGACGATTGGTTTTTTTATCTTGACAGGTAGTTATCTCTCAGATGAATGGACAAGATTACTCATCACATTCTGTTCATTCATTTCATGTGGGGAAAATGAGGATAAAGCTATGTAGAGGTTGGATAACAAAATCTAGAGAAATATATTCCCCAGCAATGCAGGTATTTATTTTGGCTATCAGCTTTCATACTTGTGCTGAGGATTTCAAAATTGAAAGTCAAAATCTACAATAGTTTATCTGATTGTTGCATTAATCCCTCTTGCATTTCATTAGAGTGGTTGTGATTTCTTCCCCTGGCATTGACTGTATCAATTTCTTTGGCATTCAGAACCGCTACATTTTATATCCTATTTGATATGACAACCTAGTAGAGAACTGTAAATATTGTCAAATCACAAAACAATGTTTTATTCGAATACGATGTGGTGAAGTACAAATTCTTCGATTTTTTTGTTTGGCTACGTTTGTCATACTAACCTTGAATTGATTACCAGTTGTGTGGAGTTAGAAGTGATGCCAGTAATGCAGCGAAGGCAGTGTTTTGGCAAGCTAGAAAGGGTCTCTCGTTTGTATTGACATTTGAATCAGAGCGAGAAAGAAATGCTGCCATCATGGTTGCCAGGAAACATGCTCTTGATTGCAATGTACGTATCTTTTATCTCTCCAGATTATATATACGGATTCCTACACTAGCATTATTGCGCCAAGTTCCTAGCAATATTCTTCCCATAAAATGGACCCCTGGCCCCAGCATGCTAAGTTATTACTTGGTTCAACACTCCTATGGAAGTTAATAAAAGATGATCATTTCATGGCAGGTTGTGCTCGCAGGGCCAGATGATTTAGTGTAGAAGAAAACCTAACTGACTGAGTTTCAACAATTGTGAGTATTGTTCTGATTTTTGGGTGTGAGTATATAATACATGAGTGTGGCTATTTGGTTACGAAAGGGATGCTTTGGAGCCTTGTAATTTGGGTTTCTGCTAACTTGGTTGCATTTTTAGGCATGTTTTTTTATTTGCCTAATCATATGTTGTAACAAATCCATGTGGGGATGATCATTAGTTCATTTGTTTATTGTGTCTGATTTGCAAATTCCTGCAACAAATTGTCCATCTTTCAAGTTTGCCTCGTGACCTTCACTTTCTTCTGCAATGCTCAAGTGGAGCATATGATCATGCAGAAAACAGAAGGCAGTATATCAGGGCTTAGTTTCCTGTTGGGAAGTTATTCACAGTTAAAATAATATACTACGTTGAAACCCTCCTCAAATGGAGGTTGCACAGTGAGTGTGTGAATGCAATATGTCTTCCGTCAATTTATTTTACTTTGTTGTAATCATGAAACTTTGAAGAGGATTTGTTTAGCGTCTTCATCTGATATAGGTTCTAACTTAATTAGGAGTCTCAAGTCTCAAGTTTGAGTCCTGAGGATGTAGCAGCGTTGAATCTCGATAATAGTGGTCTCACTGGAAAGAATTTCACGTTACTCAATGAAGTTCTCTTAGCTCAAAAGACGCCGGCACCAATTGAAGGGTTATGCTTGTTTAGTGTCTTCAAAATAAGTTTTTTAAATTAAACAAAAAACAAAAAAAAATGTCACTAACAAAATATTGTTATCAATATCTGGATACGAACAAAAGCCTTTGTCAATACAATAAATTAGTATGCCTTCGCTACTTAGTTACTTTTTTGATGACTGGATATTGCCTATTCATACTTGAAAGTTTTCCCTAATCAATTACCGGAGCTTTAATTACAAATCATGGTTTATAATCTTCCCAAAAAGCAACGTTGATATTATCAATGATAATAGTAAGACTCATTTTTCGCATTTGTTTGATTGTGAAAATCAATTTTTGTTCATCCGGGAATTATTAATGTTGGAATCATTAAAATCAATTTCTAAGAACTTCAGGGAAGTCAGGACCAACCACACTTCCCTGGTCAATTTTTCTTCTTCTTTTCCCTTCGTCTTTCATTAATAGGAGGGAAGAAGACATAAATAAATAATTGTAAAAGAAATTCACTACAGACTCAAACACGCAAGGTGTAGCTGAAGTCACTATGTTATCAAGACTGATGCTATCTAACTAATGAGATTGAGAAATGGCATCGTTCCAAGTATAACGAATGATCGAATAATTAACGCTCATATTAATATTATTTGGATATTAAATATCAATATTACATAAATATTAAATATTGATATTGACACTTTTTTTGGGGAACAGATATTAACATTAATAATCAATATTGATATTGGGCGAGTGCCGATTTAAAGTAATGTTGGTGATATTATTGCTAAATTCACTCTCATATTTTTTAATTTAATTTAGTTTTAGGGGGTGTTTGGGTAATTCTATAATCACTTTTCAAAAACACTTTTTCGCAAATCGAGATAAATTTCTTCACATATTTACTTCGTATATCGTAAAAAACACTTCTGAAACTATGATTTTATTATTATCCAAACACCCCCTTAGTTAATAACATTTCTCCTGTACAGCTTTAAAAAATAAAAAATTGTTTTATAACATGGCGCCGCAGGTGTTTGCTTGCCTTCAACTGACAACGGGAGCGTGGACCATCCACTAAGCCCAAGCCATGAAGGCCCATTGCACATTATATTTCGTTTTTTATTTTTTTGGTACGCACTAGTCAGATGCTTTTTGAATTTCCAACGGCTACAATTCTCCTGTTGGAACTTGGAAGCCACATTGTGCCGTCCGATAAGGCTTGAGCATCCAACGGTTTAAAACTCGGCACTATTCGACCGTTAGAAGAGAAGAGAAGCGTCACCTCTCTCAGCTTCAAAAAGGAAGGGCTTTTCTTCTCCCTCCCCTCGTCCTACTTAACGAGACACAGACACGGAGAAAAAGCGCTAACTGATTCAGAAGGGGCTCTCTAAGCAAACCCAGAAGGAGAATCGCAGACGCAGAGTGTTGAAAATGGCTTCGAGACCCATCGTTCCACCACAGGCCAGAGGTACTCTGTTCCCCATCTTGTTCCCGTATCTTTAAATTTTTAGCCGTAAAATGTTCATTCTTTATCCATTCCTATGCGTGCTTCTTTTCATTCTTTTGTTTACTGGGATTAGTATCCTTCACTTATCGTTTTTTCTCTTACATCTTTTGTGGGTTTGAGTGAAACCTGGTCTATCGCTTACAGACAAATGCGAAATCTGGTTTCACTGCGCTTCTCTAGGATTTGTCAATGGACAGCATCATTTGAGGATATAATTACTTGGTCGATTCGTTTTTTTCTCTCAAGTATTTGCAAAGACTGAATCGAATAGATAAGACAGGAAGTATAGTTCAGCGTAGAAAAGAAAGATCTTGTCCGGATTTTCGGGACGAAGAACGTCTAATACGAAAAAAGGGCTTGGGAAGAAGGCTGTGGGGAGTGAGGGGAAAGAGTCAAACTTATTTCTTGGGTTTATTTTAAATCTTTTCACGATCTCATCCACATGCAGAATGGGGCATTCTTTCTATTCTGGGTTTTTTTTTTTGGCGTGGATGTTAAATCATTAACATTAATCTGTATTTATATCGATGTATCACCCCTGTTAAGATTTCTTATTTTTCTGGGCGAATCTAATAGGTGATGCAGTCGTCGAGGGAGGTAAGCAGCAAAAGAAAAATCCAGCGGCAGAAGGAAGAAACCGCAGAGCACTGGGCGACATTGGAAATTTGGTGAACGTAAAAGGAGTAGAGGTCAAGCCTAACCGCCCTATCACAAGGTCTCTCTCGCTTTCTATATGATGCTCATCTTTTATTGGTCATTGCAGTCTTGATCTTAACCTCTATTTATCTTTCTGTCGTTCTTTTAGGAGTTTCTGTGCCCAACTACTTGCTAATGCCCAGGCAGCAGCTGCGGCTGACAACAACAAGGTCTAGCCCTATTACTTGTTTCAGTTCTTGAGTCCAATTGTTGAGTTTTACATTCACTGGTATAATGGCTGTATAGGATTAATCTTGGGTTGCTTATTTATTTGTTTTTAAATTGCAGAAACAAGCTTGTGCTAAGGTGGATGCACCTCTTCCGGTCGTTGATGGAGTCGTAGCTGCTAAGAGAGTCGCACCAAAGCCGGCTCAGAAGAAAGTCACCGTTAAACCAAAGCCCGAGGAAGTCATTGACATAAGCTCAGAAGAAGAGGTAGAGAAAGAAAAGTCTCCGAACAAGAAAAAGGAAGGAGATGCCAACTCTAAGAAGAAATCACGCACTCTTACTTCAGTACTCACTGCTCGAAGCAAGGTTAGTGGGGGGTGGAATATCCTCCTCGTATGGCGCTGCCTTATTTTTAGTGAATTCTCAGTACATACTATGTCCTATTGCAGGCAGCATGTGGTCTGACTAAGAAGCCAAAGGAGCAGATTGTTGACATAGACGCAGCTGACACTGAAAATGAACTTGCTGCAGTTGAATATATAGATGAAATTTACAAGTTTTACAAGCTGGTCGAGGTATAAATCACATTCCCTGAATTTACTAAACTCGTTATGTCTGTTTGCATTAATAAATAGCAATTTTGATGCATCATGCCTGTGTGATGCAGCATGAGAACCGGCCTCACGATTACATGGACTCGCAACCTGAACTCAACGAGAGGATGAGAGCTATATTGGTGGACTGGCTGATAGATGTCCACAGAAAGTTCGAGCTCTCGCTTGAGACCCTTTATCTCACCACCAACATAATTGATCGCTTTCTTGCCACCAAGACCGTGCCAAGGAGAGAACTCCAATTGGTTGGCATCAGTGCCATGCTCATGGCATCCAAGTATGAAGAAATATGGCCACCTGAGGTTAATGACTTTGTTTGCCTCTCAGACAGAGCTTACACTCACGAACAGATATTAGTGATGGAGAAAACCATATTAAACAAGCTGGAATGGACTTTGACTGTGCCCACCACTTACGTTTTCCTTGTTCGTTTCATCAAGGCTTCCATTCCTGATGAGAAAGTAAGTTAATGACCTTGTTAATTCAAGGCTTTTGTGGTCAGTGCTTCATTCTTCTCACGATGGAAACTTATGGTCGTTGGCTTTCATTTGAATTGTTCAGTTTGAAAACATGGTCTATTTTCTTTCTGAGTTGGGAGCCATGCATTATGCCACCATAATGTATTGCCCATCAATGGTTGCTGCCTCAGCAGTCTTAGCAGCTCGTTGCACTCTAAACAAGAACCCCACTTGGAGTGACACCCTGAAGCTTCACACTGGATACTCAGAAGCACAACTAATGTAAAAATATATTGCCTCGGTTTCCTTCAGTTACAGCGGAATTCATTTTCTCTCAGATATTATTTACTCATGGATGATGATGTTGATTTCCTTTCTTATCAAACAAACAGGGATTGTGCTAGATTGCTGGTGAGCTTCCACTCGACGGCTGAGAATGGAAAGCTCAAGGTGGTGTACAGGAAATACTCGGATCCAACCAGAGGAGCTGTGGCATTGCTTCCTCCGGCAAGGAATCTCATGCTTGAAGATTCCGCTGCTAATTAGAAGGGAAAAAAGGGATCTGCTGCAATAACATTTGTTATTATTTTTTTATATCTTTTTATTCAATACGAGACAGAAGTCTGGCTTTGAATGTTTGACTGCATTAATTTCTCACGAATGGGGGTTTAGACATTTGATATTTGTTGTTGGATAAAATGGTCTCACTCTACTTGGAGATGCAAAAGCATTCTCAGTTCTCGCTTTGAAACGAGAGCTTTTGCGTATAGTGCTGAGATTTCATTGTAAAGTTGAGGTATAACTGCTAATGTGTATCAATACATTTTCTCAGACTGGAATTACAGCGGAACATTGTTGTAATGTTTCCCTTGTAACGGCTTATGGGTAGCACTGCTGCAATGTTTGATTGCAAATTTAGTTATCATTATTATTATTCTTTTAAATTAATATAAATATAAATTAGCTTCAGCCCGTGAAATATAAATATTAATATCACATATAAATGGGGGAGAATGACCAAAAAAAGATAAGTGTAGCAAAAACCTATTAAGTGCAGGAAACAAACAGAATTTAATAATTTTCATGTTCATTTTTTGTCATTTTTTCTATAAATAATGGAATTAATAATTTTTAAACAATTATTTAATGTCAATACATTTACAATTTTAACACCCCCTAACCATGTAAGTTTTAACCCAAAAAAATTGAAGTTATAGTTTTCTTTGCCATCAATTATTTTTAAACTATAGGAAACAATATGAAAACTATAGGATTAATTTATTCTTTAGAAAATTGGGCAAACAGACTGAAAAGCCAAATTATTTTGCGTAACATTACTGTGTTTTAAATTTTGCATTTAATGGACCAAAGTCTTTTAGGGGAAAGGTGTTTGATTAGGAACCGACAAACTTGGCCACACCGTAACGTTGCTTGCATGAAGCCTTGTCACTTCCTGCTCGTTTTCTCTTCCCCCATTCTTTTTTTCTCTTCTTTCTGGAAAAGCGTTTTAGTCTTTTTTGCATTCGTACATAGTTTTCCCAGAATCACCATGGCCTCTTAAAACCAAAATGTCAGACTCAAAAAAAGAAAAAATTGTAAGGGTGTGTTTGGGTGACACCCCAAATCATGGTTTGGGGTGTCAATCACCCAAACACCCCCTCTAAAAACCAAAATCATGGTTTTGGGTCAAAACCATGGTTTTGACTCCAAAACCATGGTTTTGGAAAAAGCAAAAATTTTTTGCTTTTGGAGAAAAAGGGAGAGTGTGAGAGCCTATATGATATGTATCTTGTTATTTTTTTTTATAAACATATTTTTTGATAAACATATTTAATCTTATATTTTATAATATATATACACATTAATATTTATTAATTATATTATCTTATGTATTATTAATTATGTTGGTAAAAAATATATTATTAACAATTTTATTCCTTCAAATTAAAATATATCATAAAATCTATTTTTTCTGTAATTATCATATTAACTTATGTCTTTTTTTAGTAATTTGTATATAAAAAGTGCTTCTGATAACAACTATCCAAACACTCACTTCTCAGAATCACTTTTTACAAAATCTATTCTTCACAAATCTATTCTCCCCAGAATCTATTCTTCAGAATCACTTTTCCAAACCACGGTTTGGTTTCATCCAAAACACACCCCAAAACACAGTCATTTTACTTTTTTTTTAAAAAATTTAGAATCTGCTCAAATCATTTTGAATTTAAAATTAATTTCTACGGAATTAGTATCCAAATATTTATTGATATGGTCTTTCAATCAATTTTCTTTTTTCTTTTTTAACATTTTTTTAGAAAAAAACTTCAATTAAACTTCCTTTTCTGACCAAATTAAAATGATCTCCCTAACAAAGATTATTTATCAAATTAAGTATTCTTCTAATTCCTAATATAAAACCTAATTAACTAATTTGAGTAGATTAAAAATATTAGTTAAATTAAGTAATATAAATTTTTTTCTAAAACATTGTAATCATTTTTCTAAATTTCCTCCATCCCTCCCTCTTCTACTAATTATTGTTAAAAAATATCAATAGAGTGAATTTGAAAAAAAATTGATAAGTATGTGAAATACTACCTCCGATCTTTAATATAAAATCCTGTTTGACTTTTATTTTGATCCTAAATATAAGACCCCAATCCACTTTGTCTCTCATATTTATACATTTTTTGCCAAAGTAGCTATTCTAATAATGATAGTTCTAATCAATACACTTGATTAGCAATGATATTTTAGGAAAGACAACACCTATTTAAGACAAATAACTAACTCCATTTACTTCTTTAATCTCTTCAAATTAGTCAATTGGCTCTTATAATTAGAACCGGAAGTAGTATATCTTATATATAGGATTAATATCAACTTTCAAATAAAGTTCTATATTAAGACCAGAAGGGTATTATCTATAAAAAAATTAAGAAGAATTATTATAAAACCCTAAAAAAAAGATAATTACTAAAAATCCTAAGAATTATAATATGTTTTAACTCGTCATTAAAATTTTTTTAGTAATTATTTTATTTTTTAAATAAAGCTCACAGTAATCCTCTCAAAACAGCTCGACAAACATAAGAAAACGACGGCGAACGAGGAAAAAAATTAAATAAAGGGGAAAAATTCAGGCATTCAATTTAATCAATTAATTTTAGGACGTTATCAGGAGGGAAAAACCGTTGCCGCCAGCCCGCCATAAACCCTAAACCCTCTGGCACTGCCAGCTCAGTCGTCGATTGGCCTCCCTCACAAGCGAGTTTGAGGGCCATATCGTGTGTTGAATCCCCTTTCTTCCTCTTTCCCTCATTCATCTGCCTTTATCGAGTGTCCTTTGGTTGCAGCAAATATTTGGCTTCTCAGTCTCACGTCCTGCAAGGTCCGTACTTCTGTTGCTACAACACCCAATAACTTTTGAGTCCCTTACTCCATTAATCTACTCAGCGTAAATATTCTTTTCTCGAACAAACCAAATTTTAGAAAACGATCAAAGAATTCTGAGAGGAGAGTTGGATAGAATCTTTTGTTGATTACGTTAATTTGCGCGGTTTGAATTGCAAAATATTGCGGTCTGATATCCTGGGATGTTTTGAATTTGTGTGCCTTTGCTTTCTTTTGAAAAGAAAAATAGTTATAGATGCCTTCGAAGGGAAAAAAGCATGCCAAGGCACAGTCGAGGCTATCAGCCTCTGAAGTGGCCTCTCCTCGTACACCGTCATTGACTCCTAACAGAGATTCAGATCTGAGTGAAGAAGAACTTATCCTTTCTTGTGAAGAAGCATCAAAAATATTCCCGCCTTTCATTGGCAATTCTGCTTTTGTTGGCGATATCAGTGCTGTGGAGCTGAAATCCAAAGGCTGTAAAATCTGGCTTTCTGAGTCTTCCATGGTTTCTTCTTGCCTTGCGCCGGGTTCCATTGTGTCGGTAATTTTTCCATTTGCTAACTCAATAATAATAATTACAGCTGCAATTCTCGTCTTTATTTTCTTGCATCTATTACAATGTAAATGTAAATTGGTGGTAGATGATTGATGGATAAAAAAGGGTTTCCTAAATTTTGACTTTTATCTGCTGGTCGCAGAGAATATATGATTCATGATGATTTGCAGAAGACTCTAGCATGTCCAAAGCACTCACTTTTGAGATCTGATTAGTATTATAACATTTTATATAGATACCAGATCAACGAATATTGAGTAATGCCATTTTTTGAACGCAAGACACCTAGTCAGTTATCCAAGGCTAACATAGATTTCCATACAAGATTTTTATTTTTATGGTTCTACTTTATTTTTATTTTCGTGGTCGTCCTTTAATCTACTTCATCTCATCATATTAATTCAATTGGCAGGTTTCAATTGCATCTCCGAGAAAGAAAAATCTGGATTCAGATAGCTTTCCTCTTAAATCATTAACAAAAGAATGTGCCCGATGCTATGGACTGGATGCTGGGAACACTTCTGATAGTGTTGCGGGGAACTACTTTGCTCTTGCACTAGTTTTTCCTTCTAGCAAGGTTTGTCTGGCTACTTTTCAGCCATCAAACATTTGAAGTGCTACTGTATTAGTATAAAAACTGATAACAATATAAGCACGAAATTAGAAGGAGGTTTAATGTCATTATATTATGTAGTTAAGGAAATCAATTCTAAACTATGAGCTAGAGTTACCAGGGAGATAAACATTCTATGGGAATCAATTTCTGGAAGTAAAAGGGTTCCCTGAGAGCATTTTTCTGGGGGACATTTAGGAGTAAGATTAAATTGTATTGTTGAATTTTTGGATCAGGTCTCCTTTGTTCAACAAATACTGTGAGTGAAGAAACGTGGAAGCTAATAATTAATAATTATTGATACCTTCACTGTCAGGTTGTTAGGGATTTGTTCTGGCTAAACCAAACTAGACCATAACAGCCACAGCTTCTGAGTTGTATTAAAGTTGTAAATGTTGCTACCAAGAAGGCCATGAGAAAATCCATGGAGGAGGATTTTCTTCAGGATTGAAAATCCACTTAGTGTGCCCTGCTTCTGTGAGATTTTTCTTACTGGTTTTTGTAGTTTGGAAAAAGCAAACCCCTGGAAAAAAGGGGGGGTGCCTGGATGCATGCATGTTTTAATGGTGTTTGGGGGTAATCGCTCAAATGTAACAATAGCATTTTAAGATGCAAATTCAACTTTTCTATGGCTTTTTCTTGTTTCCTGGGCTTGCTAGAGTCACCGCCCAGCGGGAGGGTTCCCTTCATTGGTTTTACAAAGGGATAGGACATTTCTTTGAAGCATGTTTATTCTTCCCTATTATCCATGCATGTATACCTAATTTATTTCATTATATTTACTTAGGTTTTGAAGAATGGAGTACAAATTTCCTCAGAGCTTTCTCATACCATGGGATGCCCTACTTTTGGCACACATGTTTTCATTTATCCGGTGCAGAATCAGTGCCTATCTTCTCTTGTAAATGAGAAAAATCAACCACGTTCTACAGAAGATAATAGCCTGCTGGTGTATGATTGCAAGGACTTGTATCTTCAGCTGGCACCTTTGAAGAATGGATTACCCATGAAAATCGGTAACATATCACCAACGGACTTGTCTGCAGCAAAATTCAATCTTCAATTTGGGAATGAAAATGTTACTTCTAAAACACCTTCGAATGGATTGAAATTGTCTAGTTTTAGTGATTTATCTTCACCTATATTTGAAGATTCTTCTTCTAGCATACATAATCAAAAGAGCCAATCCCTAATTTCATTTGATCTAAGGGAGGCATTGGGGATGAAAGCTCCAAAAAACTACTGCAGACATGCGCAATGTCATGGTTGTATTCCCGTTGGTTACTACTAGGGAATATTGTGACCATACAAATATTTTCAGAGCTGTGCGTTTTCCAAGTAATAGGAGCTACAAGTGTGTCAGGAGACCAGTCTACTAATTCATCAAGTGAAATTAGTTCTTCATACCGAGAGGGTTCTGACATATCAGAGCATACAAATCATGCTATTATTGTCACCCGTGAAACAAAGGTATCTTTATCTTTGCCATCAAATGTGACTTCTGATGAGCTGATTCAAAGAGATTTATCTAAGGTGGAACTCAGGGAGAAGGGCACTAAGGCTAGTGTACCTCATAATATTTCAAAATTGGGTGGTCTTTCTAAAGAATATGCAGTTTTGAAGGATATAATTTTGTCTTCAGTAAAAAATGACCTATTAAGGTATGCCTTGTCTGTTGGATATTTCAACCTGTGGTATGCATGCAATGTTGAATCATAGGAATGCCATGCTAATATAATCAAATTAGAATCTTGACTTATATTTATCATTGTCATATAGTATCAATTTATGTCAATGGATCAAATTATAAGTTCTATTCTCATATGTATCATCACATGTATATACGCCCATGCATTTCTGCTTACATATGCTACTTGTCTTTCCAGTAACTTCGGGTTACGAGCTACAAAAGGCGTTCTTCTTCATGGTCCACCTGGCACAGGAAAGACTTCACTAGCTCAATTGTGTGCTCATGATGTGGGGGTCAATCTTTTCTGGATAAATGGACCTGAAATTGTAGGCCAATATTATGGTGAAAGTGAGCAAGCATTGCGTGAAGTTTTTGATTCAGCCATTAAGGCTGCACCTGCTGTGGTTGGATCTTGTTAAAGCTAATTTATTAGCTTCATATTTTATTCATATTTGGATGAAATTCTGTGTTTCTGATGTTGATGTTTATGACTTGTGAGTTACAGTTCACAAAGGAAAAGCTTGTTATAGAACAAGGGATTTTAGTGCCAATTGATGAATCTTCAAAACTAATTCCTGATTTTTTTTGGGGGGGGGGGGGGGGGGAACTAATTCCTAATGATGATTCAGCAACTGACTTGGTTAGCAAAGCCTGCTATATTTAAGCAACTGAGAGTTATTTAGCAGATATGCTTCACTTGAAGGACATTTTCTCCTGTTGATTTTCTAGAGTTGTTGAGCAGTTATCACGTTCCTTTGATATAAAATATTTATTTTTATACAGTGCTATGGTGATTCCCAAACATTTTTTGTTAAAATTTTTAATAATTTGATTACTTGTGGTTCTTTTTGAAGTGTTGTGCTTGATTTGCTGGGAGTAGTCCAACTTGTTTCAAACCATGTTTGTGGTTCCTCCAAGCGCCTAACTGAAGGAATTTCTATTACAGGTGTTTATTGATGAGTTGGATGCTATTGCCCCTTCAAGGAAAGATGGTGGTGATGAGCTTTCTCAGAGAATGGTTGCCGCCTTATTGAATCTCATGGATGGAATTTGTAGAACTGAAGGATTACTTGTTATTGCTGCCACCAACAGGCCTGACAATATTGAGCCTGCTCTGAGGCGGCCTGGAAGATTTGACAAGGAAATTGAAATTGGTATGATAACATTGCGGTGAGAAGGTAGTACATGGCTTTGATTTTTTTTGGTTCGGAAGAAAACTGGCAGAAACTTCTTTTCTTGGGGTTGAGGGTTGGGTGTGTGGTGTATGTTTCTTAGGAGATCAAGCTTAATTCTTCTCCCTTGTGACTGATAGAATGGCAAGGGGCATTGTAGGTTTCCTAGACATGCTATTCTCTTGTTTCTATTTCATTTCTCAATTTAATTGGGCTACAGCTTTTTATTATTTAGTTTGAATTCTTTGCAGATTCACAATTCAACTAACACCTGTGTCTCCCTAAAAATTTATACTTAGGTGTGCCATCTCCTCTCCAACGTTTGGATTTGTTGCTCACTCTTCTCAGTGAAGTGGATCACGCTCTTTCAGAGATACAAATTGAATATCTTGCCACAGTCACACATGGTTTCGTGGGTGCTGATCTAGTTGCCCTTTGCAAAGAGGCAGGCTTGGTTTGTCTTAGGCGTCATTTTAATTTTAAGAAGGATTGGGATAATTGCTGCTATGATGGAACATCCTCACAATATAAGGGTCAGCAACCTGCGTTGCTTAAAGATGAAGATGACTCAAGAGATCATTCTGGCCATTCACCTTCATCTGTTTCAGAGTTATCAGTGGCTTCGAACTATTTGCTACCTTCTTGCATGACAGGTTTAACTTCTGACAATATGGAAATAGTTCCTGACAGTGGTGAGGATCATAATTTGAAAGTAACTTACGAAGATTTTCAGAAGGCAAGAATGATAATAAGACCCAGTGCCATGAGAGAGGTAAAATTTGTGTTATGAGTGGTTTTCCAATAAGATGTGGAAGCAATCAACCTAGATCTGCGTTATAAATTTGTGCTTGTTTTTATGACGATGTTTTCATTAATGTCCTTTTTGGTTCATATGAGGGGTAATCTATGTCACGTAAAGATCAGAGGTAATGTGTTAAGAGTCGCAGATGCCTTGAATTTTCCAGCAGATATGTTCAACTCACTTCATTGGATTTATATTAACAAGAAATTTTGTCTTTACGAAATCCTACATTCAACTGCAATGGTAATTTGTTGTGATTATATTAGTCTATGGTGTAAAGTACGGGTCCATGTGTGAGGACTTCCTGAGAAAATATAGTGGAAAGTGTTTGCAGTTCTATTGATCTGCCCTTTTTTGTGGGTAAATTATTGAACCTAAGGAGCATTGTGATCAGAAAACAGTCCACTATACCCAGATGAAAGCTGTATTTGTTGTTTAAACTTTACTGTCTTCTATCAGGTAATCCTGGAGATTCCTAAGGTGAAGTGGGAAGATGTTGGTGGCCAAAAGGATGTCAAAGCCCAGCTGATGGAAGCAGTAGAATGGCCCCAGAAGCACCATGATGCATTGAAGCGTATTGGGACTCAGCCTCCAAAAGGTGTGTTGATGTTTGGACCTCCAGGTTGTAGCAAAACTCTCATGGCACGTGCAGTTGCTTCTGAAGCAGCAATGAATTTTCTGGCTGTTAAGGGTCCGGAACTCTTCAGCAAATGGGTAGGTGAATCTGAGAAGGCTGTCAAATCTTTGTTTGCAAAAGCAAGGGCCAATGCTCCATCTATTGTATTTTTTGATGAAATAGATGGCCTTGCCGTCACTCGGGGGAAGGAAAGTGATGGTGTTTCAGTATCAGATAGAGTCATGAGTCAACTTCTTGTTGAATTGGATGGTTAGTGATAATTCTGAATCAGTAGATATGTGAGTGGTTGTTTTACATATAGATGGGAAATAGATCAAGATTTTGGTTTTGATTAAAAATAATTTCTCAGGTCTGCATGAAAGAGCTAATGTCACTGTCATTGCTGCTACAAATAGGCCAGACAAGATTGATCCTGCCCTTTTAAGACCAGGTATTCCATCTGTCTTTCAGTTGCTCTCACGTCTATAGAGACAGAAAGGAAGAGGGAAGTGAATAAGTTTTCAGTGATTGATGGGGGAGTGTTACAGGACGCTTTGACCGTCTGCTGTATGTGGGACCTCCAAATGAGATTGACAGAGAAGAGATATTCCGCATTCACTTGCAGAGAATCCCATGTTGTTCTGACGTAAGCCTAAGAGAACTGGCTTCTCTTACAGACGGTTGCACTGGTGCTGATATATCACTAATATGCCGGGAGGCAGCTGTTGCAGCTATTGAGGTTTGTCTCCCAACAATGGTGGTTGATTTATTAAAGGGGTGCCTCTGAACTGAATAATTGTGAGCAACTTGTGTTTGGATAATTAAAAGATTCGGTTTTGTTGTGACCCATTTATTAAATAAATGATTTCCGAATCATGGCATGTGGATGGGTGTTTTTTTTCTTTTAAAAAAAATAGAATGATTTATAGTATAAGCAGTTGAAGGGAAAAAAAATCTCTTATTTTTATAGCAGAACCTCATAGCAAATATCTAAGAAACTTTACATGTCTTGTCTAATTTTTAAATTGACAAGATTGAGCATAGAGCTTGGCTCTATTGCAGCCTGATATATTTTTACGGCATATGTTAAAATCAAGTTTTTGGTGATTTTATTAGGAGAGCCTTAATGCTTCGGCAATAACAATGAAGCATTTGAAGACGGCAATTAAACAGGTGCAGCCAACAGAGATTCAGTCTTACCAACAGCTGTCAGCTAAATTTCAAAGGGCTGTAGGCACCTGTGATGTAAAACATGAGGGCAGCAACATGCAGTGTTCAAACAGATCTACTTGGCTCCCCATTGGGTAATTATTTTTTAATATTGCATGTTATATTTCTATTACCTTTTTCAATCTTGTTTTCTTTTTGGGTTGTGGAAAAATTAACTGAAATTGGGTGCTGATGAGACAGTATTTTGCCCTGGCCAAATATATCAAGAGTAGCGGGTTCTGCACATTGTTTAGAGCCTTCCCTCTTTGAATTTTTGCCACCCAAAAAAAAAGAAAAAGGAAGAAGAAGAAGCAGAATTGCTCTTAGTCGACAAGATACACCCTACATTTTCAGTTGGATTTAGTCTTGGACAGTGTCTCATCCTCTATGTTGGTGTTCCTAAAACAGTACGTATGTTATTGTTTAGTGCTCAGCTGGGCGAGGAGAAACTTTCCTCCGAAAAATGCTGAGATTATGCCTCACAAGCACACACCCCATGCTTCTGAGTCCACTGACTCAGTTTGTCTTGGTTCAGTTTTTTTCAGTTTCTGTCCTGTCCGAATCTAAAGCAACTTGGCTAATGTTTCATCATGCCAACCAAGCCTTTGCATGCCCCTACAATTGAGCCTAGTCATAGAACCTAGCACATTCTGGAGTAGATCGATTGATTGCTTTCCCCTTCCCTTTGAATTTCCCCAAGTGTATTTTTCAGTATAAGAAGGGAAAAAATAGAAAGTATCAAGTAACTTTCTGTTTATTATATTCCTAATGATGCAGGAAATTCATAAGATCTGCCAAATTGCTTCTCTATCGGTTTTCAGTGGCTGTTTTCTATTCGACAACTGCTTCATGTGGGTAGTCACAGTTCACTATCATGCTAGTTGGATTCTGGTGACCAGGCTCACGTGCCTTGTTCCATAGTCAATGGAAGTGAGCGGCCCTACTGACTGGCTGCAGTTACTTTTCAAAGTCACAGAACGTAGATTCTTAACCAGTGTCAAAAATAGAAAATCAGATAAAGCAGACAGGTCGGTTAGGCCAATTTTTTTTAGGCTGCATATTTTATTTGATATCATTGACCTAGCTTGAAAAATTGGTCAATATTAGATTATTTTGGAAGACGTGTCAGGTAGCCCTTCTTGATCTGAAAAATCAGGTTTGTTCGTCATTTCAGCTTTTTATACTTTCTGTGGGTTCTTCCTTTGTCACACGAGTTAGTGCTGCAATTATATTTGGTGAGAGAACTTTATATACGGATTTTCATCTTTCCCCTTGTTGAAAGTTTATGTCGCATGCCTGTATTATTTTCGATTTGGCGGAAAAAGGGGCTAGTTGTGTATTGTTCCTGTGCTGCTTAGTTTAAATCTAAATGTTTTCCTTAGTTTTTTTTCCCATAAAAAGTTGTGTATTATATTCTATCCATATTATTTGAGGATTCCTATTTTCTTTCCTAGAAAGTGATTGTTATTTTAGAAGATAGAGTGCATGGAACAGGGTTATGTTTTCTACTTCAAGACAATATGGAATTGGTCTTTCAAGCATAATTGTTCAAATGCAATAGACCTTTTAATTTTATGTGCCGCTAGATTATTACATACCGTGGAAGTGAGAAACTGTTATTTCTCGCTTGTTTGAAAATTTTCTAGAACGGTGATTGGATAATTGTAAATGGACGAAAAAGAATTCAATGTAGAAGGGGCAAGTTCTATACTCCTACAGTAACTGAGATTTTGGAATTTAGGCTTCCAAGTAGGAACTAGTTGTGGAAGAGCTCTGAATTACTCTCTGGATCTGGGTTTTTACAACTTGTAGGAAAACTGAATTTTGGTCTCTTGGGGCTGTGAATTCGAGTTATTCTTGTTTATTTTCTTACCTTTTAATCATCAGCTTAGTTTCTCCCGTATGCCAAATAAGTGGTATTTTCTATCTCAATTTTATGATGTCCTTTTCATAATGTTCTGACTGACATGTTAAATTTTTTTTTTAAAAGAAAACATGAAATTACCTCCGCATGCCACCAAAAACCAAAATTGAGATTATTTTGGAGATGCATAAATTATGGTATCGTTTCTTATGCACAATGTGTGAGTCAAGTCTTCGAGCTTATCATAGCGTCACATGGTGGGGGCCTCATTCTTACGATGCCGTACCGTTTCAAGGCACTCATAAGTTGGGATAATTTTTTTCACATATTTATTTTATGTTTTGTAAATTAAAATTGAAAAACTGTCTAGAATTTAATTAGAAGCTCTTCCAAATAACCCTCAATTGGTACGTGAGTAGCAGTGTTGCCAACGTTGGCGCGAGGGACCCCCCTCCTTCCCCTCTCCTTATAGCTCCAATAATTGTGATGCCCTCTACTTTTGCTAATAATAGGAAAGGCATCAGGTTCATGCGTGTATTGTGTCTGCCTTGAGAGAGTGCAGACCGATCGGCTTATAAATTCATATTTGGATTGGTGCCAACAGCTCATCCACTTGCTTTTCTGGGCGTATCGTGGTTTTTGTTCCAGCCCCTTGCTCTATATTTTATCACTTGTTTGCGCGTCCATTGATTATCTCCACTTCATCCCAGGAAGGAATAGGCCTATAAGTCAGCATCGTATGGGGGGATCGATCTCCATTTGGCATCCGAAACCCAATGCCATCTTTTTGAAACTTGGGAGATATCCTCACAACCAAACAAACACCAGCTCATGTTATTCCCTATCTACAAACAACAAATCTCACAAAAGTAAAGAATCTTTGCATCTCTCTCCTCATCTTAAACTCCATTCGCCTCCCGTACAATTCATATTTGTTGTACTTCCCTCCAACCATTTATTCCTTCACCACCCGTGTGGCTTACGCGCCACTAATGCATCCATTCCTCTCTGTTCCTGGTTACCGTTGGTCCCCTGGACAATCAGTGAATACCTATTTGATTCTGCTTCACGAGTGGGGTACTCCTTGGGTGAGTTGCAGAGGAGCGTGCAACTAACGCGCCTCCAAATGCAGGTGGAAGGAAGATCACGAGATCTTGAAACACTCGCTCTCAAATGTAAGACCCTCAAATCCCGGAAAAATAAATCTCATAAAAATCATAAGGAAAAAAGCATCAGCAAGAGTCCCAACAACAATAACAGCTGAAAACAAGACAAGATCCACCTCGAACCTCTCTCCATCTCCTCCTAAGTCCCAACTCCTCCAGTTCTGCCACCAACACCACCACCACCACCACCGTCGCCGCCACCTCTGCTGCCCCTATCTTTCTCCACTCAGAGCTCTCCTCCTCGCGTCATTGACTTTATCTATCTATCTATTCATCTCTCTTTCTGAGTCAAATTCTATAGAGAGAGAGAATTTTCAACAATCAAATCCCTGTCTGGTTTCCTCCTTCGACAATCCATATCTCCCGTGGTTCTGTTCAGTTCCAAAAATCTAGTTTTTGCTGACCAGAAAATAGGAATAGTGGATTGGGTTCGGGTTGGATTTGCGAAATAATGAGGGAAGAGGAGCCGAATTGGTTATCGCGATGGGAGGAACTCCCTGCTCCGAACGAACTCATGCCCCTCTCCCAAACCCTAATCACTCCTGATCTTGCTTTGGCTTTTGATATCCGAAATCCTCATGTCAATACCTCACAACAACTCCCTCAGGCCCCTCCTCCGTCAAATCCTCTGCCTTCTCCTGGAAATCCTACTCACCCAAACTCCACGGACTTTGCTGATTCCGCTGAATTGGGTTCTGGTATTGGAGGCGAGGAACCCGCTCGCACCCTTAAACGTCCTCGCCTCGTTTGGACTCCACAGCTTCACAAGAGGTTTGTTGATGCTGTGGCACACTTGGGAATAAAGAATGCTGTGCCCAAGACTATAATGCAGTTGATGAGTGTGGATGGATTAACCAGGGAAAACGTGGCTAGCCACTTGCAGAAATACCGGCTTTATCTTAAGCGCATGCAAGGATTATCCGGTGGCGGCAGCGGCGGAGGCAGCGGCGGCGGAGGAGGAGGCGGTCCATTGGCTGCTTCTGCAGATCCTGCCACTGACCATTTGTTTGCTAGTTCGCCTGTGCCACCCCATTTCTTGCACCCAACTAGGCCTAATTCGGATCATTTCTTGCCGTTTGTGCCGGTCCAGACTCTGCAGCACCACCATCACCAGCAGCACATGGTGGCAGCTGCGGCGGCGGCGGCCGCGCATCCACAGTTGCAGCCACAGTATCACAGACAGGTGGGACATTTTGGTTCACCGCCAAACGGGCACTTTGAGCATCCCTTTCTAACAAGGCAGTCTCAAGCTCAGCCACTTCACAGGATGGGAGCCCCAGTGCACAATCCAGTAACCGCTAATTATGTGGAGGACATGGAATCGGCCAACGCGGCAGGAGCGAGAAAGGTTCTTACTTTATTTCCTACTGGGGATGATTGAATCTGTTCTGTGGTCCTCTTATTGAGTTTCCTAATTCTCCTTATATTCACCTTCTTGTCTTGCGAAATATTGTTTCTGGTGGTTCATGTTGAGTGTCCTTGTTTAATTTTGTTTTAGGGGTCACGGTAATCTTGATGCTACTAATTGGTTCTGGAGTCTAGGTGTTATCTGCACTTCTGCAGATCTAAGAGTCCCACCTGTCGTGCTTCTGTGGCATAATCGGATATGTTCGATAATAATGAGTATGACTAGAATAGATTGCTAGATTCCACAGTGGTGTCGTTCCTGTACAACCACGTCCATAGTTCAGGTGACTGACATATACCATGATGTCACTTTTGAAGTGGGAAAATAATATTTGCAAGCTTGTGCATGAATCAGTAGCTGCGTCAAGACTCATCCCATTGTTGTCTAAGAATCGCCTGCAGTTCAATATAATCCCGAGCGCTTCTACTTGGGAAGCTTTTGATTGACAGGATTGGCTGAAGCAACAAGTTCCAGTGACAATGAGCTTGCAGATTTAAATTAATTTTGTGCTACACTAGTTAGGAATCAAAGGAAGCATACTGGTTGGTGGAGTTGGTTGTGAATTCTTAAACTAAATCCAGGATCCTCTATTGTGAACTGAAAGATTTGTCTCTCGAGTGTCGAGCTGTCTATTTCTGTAGAGGTGAGGCGTATATATAGAAGATTTAAACGCCAGATGTAAGGGCATATTTTTAAATCCTGATCTCACGGCATTGTTGGGTTAACCCCTATGCTAATGAATTGTAGTAGGCTAGATTCCATAATTTCTAGATGTACTCTTTTCAAAGGAAAAATAAATAAAAGCTCCACGTTGTATTTCTTGTCTGACAGGCATACCTGATTTCTTTATATCCCAAGTCCTGAGGCTGACAGTGGGTCTCATTATATGATGATTGAGAATGGATCTTCTGCGATTTCTTTAGTGGTGCATTTCTTGTGCACGTCCTATTTTATTATTTAACCCATCATATACATGTTTTCTCACTTTCTGCATTGCCTCCTTACTAATAAAATAAGAGATGCGCAGAAAATGCATCACTAAAGAACTATGATGATCTATTTGCTCATATCACGGATCTTAGCCATACTACGTGACTTTGTTTAATAATATATCCTCCCTTCTTCTGAACAGGATCTGTTTCCTACTGAAGCTCCCAATTCTTGTATGACTATACATCTGCACATAACTTGGATTTTGGTTATCCCATAATTGGATATTATTTTTTGGAAGAAAGAATAATTCATCTTAAATGAAACGCTTGTTATAGAGATGTTAATCATTAACGTATATTTAACCTCGGGACGAGATATTTGGTCCCGACTGAAAAACAAAACTCTCGGCAAGGTCTGTAACTTTTGACGCGAATAATTCAGCTCCTGTTTTTAGAGATACACGTAGCCGTTCTGCTAGGCTTGTCTTGAATTCTTCTTTTTAATTTAACATCTCAATTTCATTTCATCTGTTTGGGAAATCAAAGTTGATCCCTTAATGTAGGGCCGACGTAATTTTCGGGTTACTTAAATAACGTGTACATTGTTTGAGGTCTCGTAGCATTCAATCTGAAGTCATATAGCTTACTCGGTTCTGTGTCTAAATTTCCACACCTTCTTCATGTGTTGTTTGTCATGTTTGGATGTTTTTTTCAATCATTCTGAAGAAAGATCGATTCAGGTAGCTTCGGCCAAAAGTCTTAGATACGGTCTATAGAATACAGGTTTTCCTTTCTGGCGGGCTTGAACTTGGTTTCGTCAGTAGTTAATTGTCGATGCGATAATTTGTTTATCCAGCTCTATTTTAATCCCGATTATAGGCACAAATAATTGAAGTGTGCTGGCCTTGAAAATTCGTCTCGCTGTTTTTCATTTTTCTTCTTTTGCCCCCTCTCTGGTCTCTTCTTCTCTGCATTTGCACATTTACAGCAGCAGAAATAAAAATGGAGAGCTGAGTTTCTCATTAGTGTGATGCAGTATGTCAAAATCATTATTATGATGCTGTGCGTTCGTGTTATTCTCACTATAAAAGAAAACAGAGAGAGAAAAAACAAGTTTACACGATACACCATGAAATCATGTTTACCACTAAATCAGAAGCGAAAGACGGGGCTGCAGAATGAAGCCATGCCAAGACAAAAAGTGGAAAGGAAGAAGCAGGGGAAGGGGGTCAACGAAGGGTATGATGATTGATGATGAGGTAGTTAAAAATGGGGAAGCATTGGGACAAGGTGGCAGTAACATTATGAGCAGCATCTCACATTTGTTTCGAGTTTTGGAATGTGGTACCAAAACCAACAGATATTCTGCATTGCATTGTTGGATTAGGATCTGGATGTTGTAGAAAGGCCATTGGATTTGTGCAATAATGGAATGGAGGCCATGTGGGGGAGGACCAACAAAATCTTTGGCGTTTCTTGCTTTGTCCTTGTTTTTTAATGCGTCAGAGCCTTTGGTTGCAAGATTCCAGGCTCAGAAGAAGGTGGACGCCACCCTGGACCTCACATTATTTATTTGGGGTGCAAGCACTCCATTAACATACTTATCATCTTCCATTAACCCGTCGCTTTAAACTATTCTTTCTAATGTTGGATCCAACTGGTCACTTAACCCTTCTATTGTTCGCTTCATGGAAGTTACTCGAACCAGAATCCTCTCCCTGTCCCATCGTCTCTCCCACTTGCCCCCATGTTGTTTTCCATATTCTGTTGAATCTGCTGCCCGGACTTATATAGAATATTATCTTGAGAATATATATTGATTATCAACTAACCTTTAATATATTCAATATATAGAATATTATCTTAAGAATATATATTGATTATCAACTAACCTTTAATATATTCAATTCGCATTAAATATATTCCTAATATATTATCAATTTAGGATTCAAACTACTTGGAGTAATAACTTCGGAAAGGCTGCCTAGATATTTAAAATATGCTAATATATGACCATGCTAATTATATTTTGATTACAATAAAAGCAATATAGATACTACTTTCTTAATTGATCACACTTTATAAGTAAATACTCCTCCAGTCCTTAATATAAGACCCATTTAACTAATTTGATTAGATTAAGGAAGTTAGGTAAGTTAGTTAATTATAAGAAAAGTGACACATTTTTCCTAAAACACCATAATCATCTTTTTTAATACCCCTACTCCCTCTTCTATTTGATTATGATTGAAGGAGTATCTATAGAGGTAATTTAGAGAAATTTAATAAATATGAGAAATGGATTTTATATTTAGAACTAAAATCAATTCAAGAATTGGGTCTATATTAAGAACGGGACGAGTATTTTGAAATTTGAGAGGCAAGACCTGAACTCGCGCTGCACCCACGACGAAGCAGGAAAAGCAAACTCATCTGAGCTGCGGAGCCAAATCCAGACATGCAGCACCACGAGTGTAAATAACTGAATTGGATTTCACAATCACACTCAGGAACTTGGGACTCATTATCTGTCTTTCTGACATTCACAGTTCACAACGTCAGAACAGAACCTTGAGCATTGCGGGAACACTTGGAAACTCAACAATTGGCGTTAACAAATTATCAAGTCATGGCTAATTGGCGTAAACAAAGTAACTAAAAAACTTATCATTCATTTTATAAGCTTCAATTTACTCTGATTTTAATATTTAATACATTTTTTATTTTATCCTTAATTATGTATTCTTTTTTCATTTATCATACTTCTTCTTATCACCTTTTTTTTTCATATATCTTCTTTTATCTTTTTCCTTATCTATTATAAAAACATATTTGAAAACAAAACTATATTTCTCATTTATTTATTGCTTTTAAATAATTTTAACTAATATTTCAGTATCTGTGAGTTAGTTATTTAAACCTTATAATAAGAAGGAGGGAATACTGTCCTTTTTGGGAACGGAGATGAACTAGGATGCTAGATTTCGGTTTTTCCCACACCCATTTCCGGTTATCCGGTTGTGCGCAAGACCCTACCAGCATGTTTCAGAACGGCGCCGTTGGGGCCGCATGGCATACTCGTAGCACCTGAACAACAACTAAGATTTTGCGTCCCCGGCGTTAGAGGAGAAAGGAGTATCCATGAATACCTGTGTATATATTGAGATCCACTGTAACCATAATATATTTTACTATGATAAAATCTAAAACGGAAGACAGACTACAATTGGAACAATAGGTCATCTACTAAGAGTTCCAAAAGCATGAACCTAAATCTCAAAACCTACAGCTAAAATAATTTCAGCGTACAAATTGATAAATCCCCATCAGCCATCGTCTAGTAGTTCTGCGGATAATCAAAGCTCAGCGGCTGTTGACCAAATGGAGCCTGCAAAGCAACCAAAGAGAGAATATGACGCATAAGAGAATGGTTAATCATATGCAGCGCCTGGCGAAAGCGACGATGCATGGAATATATAGTATATGAAGCAAGTGCAAATTCCCGAAAGCCACAAATTTCTTTAATCCTCACCGGAAAGAACAATTCAAATAATACAAAGTGACCCCACTACATTAACCTGGGTGACCTTCGATGCTCCCAATGTCACTTATGACTGGGGGTAAAATATGGGGGGAAAAACGCTAAAACAATGATGTTCCATACAGCCATTCATGCTCCATCACAAACTGTGATAAGCACAAAGTGAAGGAATAAAACTGGCGCAACAACCCAATTCTAAAAGCAGTATGAAACAAGAAATTACAAGAACGAAAAGAAAGCTTGCACAAACATCTAAAATTCCCACAAGGGAAAAGATACCGTACGATGACAACTCCCGCACCGGCAAATAAATTCATTTACAATTTGGTCATGCTATTGCTAACAGTCATAGACCTTACACTCTAAAAACCTAAAAATTTTCTGCCATTCATAGCTAAGAGACACAAACACCAAGCCACAACTGATGGATTAATGATATTAACAGTTGTTTACCTGAAAAACAGCATGTCTAAATTGGTCATATGAATGTGCATACATCATAGCAGCACTTGGCCACTGTAGGTAAGTAACATTCCCACCCGTCTGATTCAGTCCAGTAGGGCAGAGAGGACTCAATAGTGGGCTTGAAGGGGGTCCATAGCCAAGTGAAGGCTGAGTTTGTGACATCTGACCCAGCTGATTGAAGTTACTGTCATATTGAGCAAATGAAGGTGGAACTTTGTGAAGACTAAAAGGCGCCAAGTTTGGAAAATTCCTAGCATACCTGCCAAAAATCATTATGGTAAATCATACTAATAAACAAATTCTTCTCGTGCTAAAAATAATCACCAAATTATAACACCAGTTAGCAAATAAAAGGAACAATTCAGAGAAGAACAAACATGAGACCATTTAAAACCATTGATCCAATATGCTCTTATATTTGTACTTTGCACTGCCAAAAGCATTTCTGATTTAAGTCTGGATTTATGAATGCTGGCTTAAAGAGATATTGCTCGTCCATCTCCCTCTCCTTCTACCCACCCCTTCCTCACTCACACTTTAAATCCCACAGACAAAGAAAAAACAAATTAATTCTCGCTTTACTTAGATTACTGCAGTCGGCATATGAACAAAAGTAAAGCAGAAAATTATAAGTTAAAAAGAAATATTGTTAAAAATTCTATGTAAAGGATTTTCAGATGGACAGTGGACTCACGTGCAGATCCTTATATCTGTGCTATAAGTTCTCTAACAAAAGTATAGGATACGTATATAGTTTATTTTTTTGGGGAAAAAAAATGACGCTGGGGTATAAATTATACAACCACCATAGACTTGTCATGTTTTAATTGGATAACATAACAACAAAAATATATAGAGGTGCACATAAGTTTTTCCAATGGTTTTTCAGCTAATATAACATTGGCAAGGAGCTTGCAACACTAGAATTAATGTTTGGGCATCTCCTAAAATAGTTAGGTACATGAATGAATCTTACCTTCCATAGCTACGATCATAATCTGGGTCACTACGATCCTTCTCCCTATCTCTTAAAATGGCAACACGAGTGGAACCAATATCCTTGACACTGGTGCATTTTTCTGAATCAGCCATAGGGTTCTTGCCAGCTTCATTCTCATCCTGGCCCACACTACAATTTCTTACATCCACCGGGACCTGGGACAATGCATCACTTGCATCACAACTTCTAGAGCCACTAAAGATGCGTGCTCGTGCCCGATCATATTCCTCCTTCCTCTCTTCCACACTTCTCATAGGATTTCCTTTCAGTCCTGCTTCATTGATTTCATTTACATTGCTTTTATTAGGTCTAGGCCTTATGGCAATTTTTATCTGCTCAGGTTTATCATTTTCTGGTTGTTTGGCAGGTATTTCAGACAAGCGGACTGCGGGATACCTGCTTTCTGCTAACTTTCTCACCACTATTTTACTTCCCTGTCCATCTACGCCATAATCTTGAATCATAGTTTGCATACCGTAGTGTTGAGCAACACGATGTGCTGCCAGTCGAAGATAGGAAGAAGGGAAGTGCTGGAACTCAAAATGCTGCTGATCAGTGTTATTCAAGAACCTCTGAATATCAAGTTCCATGCGCAAAACTACAACACAACACAATCAGAAAGTTGAACAGAAACATTAGTTGGGAAAAGCGAGCCATCACAGGAGAAAGACCAGAACCCTCAAAGTTTATCCCATAAAGTTCCAAGAAAACTATAAATCCATTAGCCAGCCCACCATTGAAGATTTTCTGCTTCTAGTATATGACAAGACACTCGAGCAAAGTAAACAATACCCCAGCTACTCAAAATATGAAGTGGCAATGTCAAGAGAGCTTTTTTAGCCTCAAGGCCCAAATGAACAGAGTCTCAGACTCAAGTTATTTCGCCATGAATTTCAGGGTACACAATTTTCTATGATATCCATACACCGGAAAAGATTTGTTATTTACAAATATAGGGCTTTGACATGAGAAGCGCAAAGTTATCCACTAAAGAGTCTCGCTGAATTGAATTACATAGTCCATGGTGGGTGCCCTGTTTCTAAAGAGTCGAAGTATAAAACTGACGCGACGTTAGGAAGATAGAAAATTAAGCTGCACCGCCGTTTCATCCTCACTTGTTCGACTAGAATTTTATATCAAAGAGAACGTACTTGGTGTGCATCTACATTGCATCCATCCGATGACGAAGATCTTGAGGCGCGTGTCTGATGTGTGAATAAATTTTTGGATTGGTCTGAAATTCAAAGGCCCCCAATTTTGGGATTCATTATAGCAAGCACGTGGAGTATCCTTGTCCCCTTAAAAGGAACCAGCTCAAAGCTACATATCGAATTCAAAGTGACAATTCCTAAGGTAATTTGACGAGTCATAGCAAATGAAAGAACGACTATAATTATTCCAGATCTCATAAAATCGATACTAAACATAACGTTAACAAGACCGCGGAGTCTTATCTCAACCCCTAAACCTAAATCGCATCGACGAAGAAGAAAACTATAAAATTAAAAATCTAAACATAAAGTCAACAAACAAATAACTCTTCGACATAAGACATCTAAGACCAAAATAAAAACAAGAGCAAAAGGCAAAAAGGGGCACTGACTGGTGAGACGGTGACGAGAGTTCTGAAGAGCTTCAACCAAGAAGGGGTCAACCATTGACTCCTTGTCCTTGAATCCAGAAAAGGCATCAATGGAAGCAGATGAGGAATCCATGATTCTACGAAAAAAACAGGTAGATTGGAGAAGCCTGTCCCTCTTCTTTTTTCTCTGTAATTCCTCCCTCGGGACGAGGGGAAGGAAGGTCAGGAAGAAGGAAGAGGGGGAGAGGAAGAGGAAATGTGCCTTATACGCATGGGAAAGATAGAACCCTTCTCATCTGTCTTTCTATCCTTCTCCCTCTATCCACCAATGCCCAACGAAAGAGAGCCCTCTCAGAATAAAACTATTCACAATTTATAGGTCCCAAAATTCTCTCCCTCGCCTCTTCGCCTTCTTCGCCTGTGTTTGGATCCATGTTAGCCAAAACTAACTTTTAGTTTAACTAAATTTTGTAATTAAAATTAGAATAAAAGTTAGTTATGATATGTTTGGATAGGTGTTTTTAAAAACTCAGTTAAAAAGTTAAAAAATTTTAGATGATTAATATAAAAGTTAGTTTAGTTGTAAAATGACTGAAAAAAGCGTAGATTTTACTGAATAGTCGTGTTTGAAATTTTATATTTTTAATATGATAATAGTTTAAAAAATATATAAAATTATTATGATAAAATATAAATAGTTTATTTGTGAAATTATAAAATAAAAATATTTGTTACGAAAAAAAATTTGAAAACACATTGTAAATAATTAATTAAATATATATAACGGACAAATATGAATATAAATTAAAATTTATTTGATCTGAATAAAAGCTCATTATGCTAACAAAGGAGATGAGGCAAAGAGAAAAATGTGGGAATAAATCTAGGATGCTTATTTTTAATAATCACCTTTTGATACTACAGTTTAAAAAATCAGATTTTCCTCTATTAAGTCCAACTGAGATTGAAAGTCAGAAGTTAGTTGAAAAAGTTAACCCAACCAAATAACGTTTTCTATCCAACTCAGTTTCATCATTTCTAAGACACTTTTGCCATTGGAAACGACAATCTAAACATGCACTTCTACATGTGACGCCTTGAAGGTTGAAATAATGTCTCAAATTTATTTATTGCCAAAAATGACTATGTTTTCATGAGCCTCGAGATACTTTTTTTCCCACAAAACTTAATCAGATAGTAAGAAGTCTAATAACAAACTACTCCTCCGGTCCTAATTATAAGACCCAATTGACTTATTTGAGGAGATTAAGGAAGTAAGTTAAGTTGGTTATTTATAATAAATAAGTGTTGTTATTCCTAAAATATCCTTGCTAATTAAGTATATTGGCTAAAACTATCATTATTAGAAGGATTATCTTGGGAAAAAATGCATAAATATAAAAGAAAAAATGGATTGGGTCTTATAATTAGGACCAAATAAAAAGTCAAATTAGGTCTTATAATAAGGACCGGAGGAGTATATAATATTATCGTTGCGGCAATAGAATTTTATATCCATAAGAAGATATGATTTTTAGTCCATGATTGATATATTTATATATATTACATGTACATTTAGTTTTTATATATTTTTAAATACTACCTCCGATCCTAATTATAAGAGTCAGTTAACTAATTTGAGGAGATTAAAGAAATAAGTTAAATTAATTATTTGTAATAAATAAGTGTTGTCTTTCCGAAAATATCTTTACTAATAAACTATGTTGGTTAAAACTATAATTATTAGAAGGACTGTCTTGGAAAAAATTGAGTAAATATGAGAGACAAATTGGATTAGGTTTTATATTTAGAACCAACGTAAAAATAAAAAGTCTTATATGAAGGACCGGAAGTAGTATTTGTTTTCAGGAAAAAAAAAAGGGGAAATAAATTAAGAAACAAGACATTTTAGACATATCTTGGATGGGAGGCTGACACCGTTTCTACAGGAGACTCGGGGGCCGTGTTTATAAAGGCGAGCCTGCTAAGAAATCATACTTCTAATTTTAAGGGGTATTTGAATTAGTATCTACATAGACACGATTTTGTATAAAATTAGTTTGGTCATGAGGTGATCGGCTTTGAATAGTATTGTCTTGACGGGATTTTAACAAAAATGATATCTGGTCCGGTTCACCAGCGACAATAGCGGGGCAACTCCAGTCGGGTTCTAATGGCCCATGAAAAGCCCAATCGAGGGACATCAGCGACTGTCCACTCAAATGGGCCGTATTCGTTGGACCAGGCCTTTTGCAAAGCCCACATTTGTCAATCCTGGATGTTTATTGTCAAAGCCATGCACCACTTTTGAACAAAAAGGAAAGCCGAGAGAAAAATAAGAACAGCAAGTAGGCTGCGACATCATTACAGCGTGCCGTTTGGAGAATGACGTGGCGGAAACGTAACTCCAAGATGCACAGTATTCACGCCTCCCTAGAAACTTCCTCTTTCAAGTGTCAATGACCTCGTCTCCCCCGTGTCATTCCCTTGTGGACGAGGTTCATTGCCATTTCATCACCACTCGCACCCCCCTTTTGTTCACTCCACGAGCGCCAAAACCAGCTGGCTCCCTCCACGCCCAATCTGATGCGCGTCGCCTAAGTCCTAACTATCCATGGAGCGAAACAAAATCCCCTGTCAACAAAACGAAATCACGCGGAAACATCGTCAATGTCCAAGACTTCCAAGTCTTGGTCGAAAGTTGAAAGTTGAAACTCTCCTTTGGTTCTTCATTTCTAAAACCCTCCCCATGACTGAGCCAACTCCATCCTCGGATTTGTGTTTCAGCGATTTATCATCCGAGTTGGATAACCTCCCTGCCCCGTCCATGGATCCCCTTTTTTTCTCCGACAACAATCACGCCATGCCTTCTGAAGCATTCGCATCGGACCTTGATTTGGCCATGGAATTCGGGAACGATGGGGATTTCGAGATTTCCTTCGATGATCTCGACAATCTCTATATTCCTCTAGAAGTCGATGATTTCCTGATACCCAATGACTCTGTGCAATCGCCTGCATTGCATGATGCCGACTTGAATGTCGATGATAAGCAGTTGAGCTACAACAGTACCCATTTTGAGTCACCGGACTCGGATACTTCAGGTTCGGGAAATCAGATTTCTAATGTTTCGCAGTTCCTGAATTCACAATCACCTGAGTCCGGTAGTTGCCACCGGGAGCTTTCTGTGGCACACTCGGCGGATACTTCTGGTGATCAGGACTCGCACCATTCACTGGATGGTAAGGTTTCGAGCTTTAAATTGCCAGATTCTGATTCTTGCGATCGGGAGTCTTCTGGTGGTCCCGTTTCATCTCACGGTTCAGGCAACGTATAGTGATGAATTCACCTACACTGAGTTCTGACTGCGACGACAGAGACATTTCTTCTCTTGGGATTGCTGGTCAGAATAGAAGATTGGGGGAAATGGGCAAAATTTATGATTTGAAAAGGAAGAAGCAGCACAATGAAGGAAATACTGAGGCGAGAACGACGAAGTTTCGGAAGTCATCGATGCCTATGGATAATACCAGTCAGCAGTCTGATCTCAGTGCCCTCGACGAAGAGGACGACAAAAGGAAGGCTAGGCTGCTAAGGAATCGGGAGAGTGCCCAGCTCTCCAGACAGAGAAAGAAGCATTATGTGGAGGAGCTTGAGGAGAAGGTGAGGTCAATGCATTCTACCATAACTGATTTGAGTAGTAAGGTATCAGTTATTATGGCCGAGAATGCTACTTTGAGACAGCAATTGAGTGCTACTGGAATGTGCCTTCCGCCAGCTCCAGGGATGTATCCGCATCCCCCGATGGCACCCATGCCTTATCCATGGATGCCGTATGCACCCTATGCAGTCAAGCCGCAAGGTTCTCAGGTTCCTCTGGTTCCAATTCCCAGGTTAAAGTCTCAACAATCACAATCAGCTCCAAAGGCCAAGAAGTCCGAGAATAAGAAGCCTGAGGGAAGAACTAAGAAGGTTGCCAGCATTAGTTTCCTGGGTTTGTTTTCTTCATATTTCTTTTTGGTGGACTTGTTCCTCTGGTCAATTATAATTTTGGAGATTTAGGGGACAATATTCCCGGTAGGTCCATCTCTATTGCTGATAGATTTTATAGTCAGCGCGGAGGAAAAGTTTGGGAGATAATTGGTTATAGGAATGGATCTGAAGGAGATAGGACAGTAGGATTCTCTAGTAGGAATTTGAGTATTTCTGATAGACTAATATATGAGAAAGGTCGCAAATTAGAAGAAGAAACATATAAACAGCGGGATTCCCCATGTAGAACAGGCTCAGATGGCTCTGTTCATAAGGGCAATGCTAGCGAACCAGAGCCTCTTCTTGCTTCTCTGTACGTTCCACGGAATGATAAGCTTGTGAAGATTGATGGGAACTTGATAATCCACTCTG